GGAGTGATTATAGTGCCCAATATACAGCCTCATCTGGCAACATCCCTTAGGGTTCAGGTAAGAACAGCCAGTGTCATGAAATGGGTCTCTGCAGTATGTAGACTTTGAGTCTGGAAATTACTCACTGGAGGAGTATGAGAAGGCAAGCATCTAAGTTTAAATTCAGTCAAAACTTTGGGGTTTACTTCCTTCAAATTCTACACAGGGGAGAAAAGCAAGGAGATAGCAAGAAAGGAAAAATAAATATAAATACATAAATGACACTATAATGTCCCAATATCTCACTATAATGTCAATGGCTGACATGTTCTTGAAGCAACACAGGGTTTTCAAAAACCGATTAGTTAAATTGGAAATGTTTTACCATAAACCACTGAGAAGCATTAGGTGCTTCTCTTCAATGTAGCTGCATATTGACAACAACATTTCAGGTCCTGGCCAGGCAGTATGTAAAAACAAAACCCCCAAACTACCAAAAAGAAACCCCCGCAACTCTAAACAAAAACAATAAAAAGTCCCCTGGGGGTTCCTGTACGTAGGAAATGAGCTTGTGATTTTCCACTATTCAAAAAATACCCCGATGCAGCTTTTCAAACTGATCTATTTTTGACTCAGCACCCCAAAACACAGGCACAAAAGTCTGAGAATTCACAGCTGCAGACAGGGTTTGAGTGGAAATCATTACACAGCTCCAAGCTCTGCATTTGGTACTATTTCTTTTAGTATTCTCTTTTTCTTTACGAAAACAAACTCTGGAAAACAGAAAAACACAGCCAGATTAAACTAATGAGAAGTCAACCCAAGGTAATGTACATATTTTCACTGAAAAGACACCTGCTGCAGGGTATCTTGTCGCAAGGTGGGCACTGATGCATCCTTGCATTCAGAAGTAGCTCCCATCATGGCCCCAGCGAGCATCAGCACTAGGCACAGAAAAAGTAGGCCTGATGCAGCTTTTCAAATTGATGCTGCTTGTGGAGAGGAACAAACAGCTCGTCTCCAACTGAGGGGCTGACTCTTGTCATTTATTCATGGGCAGCCCCCTGCCTGGATGGAAATAAAAATGTTTCAGAGATGACTGCGTGGGGGAGCTGGAGGACAGCTTGGAGGCACACTAAGGTTAGCACATTAATTTTTTATCTCTGGAGACTGGGTATCCAATTATGCTTAGAGTACACAAACAACTTTGGCTGGTCTCTCCACTAGAGATTTATCCACATAATAAAACCTGTGATGGAACTGGGCACAACTGGCTGATGCCATGAAATAACATACACGGGGGTTTGCAGGTCAGATGTGTAAGCTAGCAGAGTTACAGGAGGGCACAGGACTGCATTCTCATTAACTGCATGGACCAACCTGCACACAGTAGCTTGGCCAGTGACAGCCCTCAGTGTCCTTTATTTAGGATTGTCTTTGGCCAAAGTGCTTGTGGGCATAAGATTCGTTCAGTTGCTGTTTACTACACAGCTGCCTGTAACCAGTGTTTCAAACATCAAAAAGCCACTGAAAAGTATTCTCCTTTAAAGGAGAGGAAGTTTTTCTCCATGTAGACACACTATCCTATTCTCCCAGGAATTAAGGAAGAGCATTTATACCAGTACACTCATTCACACACACATTCAATAGATGGAAGTCTAATGTAATTCCTTTATCAGAAGTGTCTCAAAATTTGTGAGCACCAGCTGCCCCCATAGCTGGCCAGTACCCATGGAGTGAGATGGAATAAAACAGCAGGTGTTTTGTGGCAGGCTTGGATGCACTCTGGGCTCACAAATCTCATGCTCTCAGTGCCAACATGTGGAGGAAAAGCAAGCAGAAAAAAAACGGGGGGGGGGGGGGGGATCATTTCTTTTTATCAGTGGAGCTGGGGAAATTGACTTTTGTAAGGGTTTTCTATAACACCCTTTTCACAGTTCCATACTCCCGTAAGAAAAATCAGAGTAGGTAAAAAATAAATGCATGTGTAGGCAGAGGCAAGACTAGGCACTGAGGAAGGTCTATTTATCTGTGTCAAAGGGCTAGATAAGACATACAAACAAAGCAACTAAAGCTCGAACAAAGCACAGGCTAAGATGCTGTAGGAAAGACAAAGGCCAAGGAAGACTGTTGAACTATCTTCCACATTGCAAAAGGTAAGCTACAGATGAGGAAGAAGGACAGAAGGAGAGATGTAAATAAACAAACCTTCTATGACAGTCAAGGACAGTGACATGTGCCAAGAAGGCGAGGCTTGGGGCTTGGGCCAGTCCCTGTTCTTTGATACACATCTGTTCAGTGGTTCTTGGTTTCAGGTAGGTTCCTCCTATCTGCAGCAATTTTCCAGTCCCTGGATAATTTACTGAACTACCCAAATTGTTCTGTGCATGAGAGGAGTAAAGATAAAGGGGACTGGGTGTGTAGAAAGATAAGAAGACATCAGCTGTTGAGCTGGCACCAGCCAGGGCATCAATAGCTGAATCCAGCAGAAGCGGTGCTCCAGAAAGCTCCCTCCTGCATCAGCACGGCTGCTGTTGCCACAACTACTGTGAGGAGTGGAGGCTGCAGACACGGGTACAATGGAAGGAAGTTCATACTGCAGCCACCCGCCTGAACTTTGCTGACCCAGTGCTCACCTCCCACAGCACAGCAAATTCCAAATGGCTGGTTTGAATTTTCCTTGCCTTTTCTAAATCAGGCTGCTCATATCTCTCTGACACACTGCTAAGCAAATAACCAGACCCTGCTCTATACCGTATCTCTGTTCCTCCTGTTCAATAGGTTGAGGATTAGCTGTTTGGATTAACATCCCCCCTGCCTTCCCTTCCTCCCTCCCTCCCTCCATTCATCCCTCCCTCCTGCCCCCCAAGCCCATGCAGAGAGGATTCTTGAAGCCCAAGCCCTGCAATGCTGCAGACCTGTCAAATCTAATTCATAACACATGCCTAGCAGTTCTTAGGGGAGAGGAAGGATCTGATGCCCTGGCTCCCCACCATCCCCTGTACAAAGGGACCATTTAATGACTGCACATTAGCAATGTGGACAATTAGCATTCACATGGAAGATAAATGGCAGCATAAATTAAATATCGCCAAGTGAAAGAGCAAAGATGCAAGATCTGAGCTCAAGGCTGTAAACAAACAAACAGGCAAACAGGAACAAACAGCCACTGCAGCAGCTAAGCCATCTGGGAGAGTTACCTTCTGGTGGCTGGGACTTTCCCCAGGGGTGATCTTCATCTTCACATGGCTGTTGCCCATACCTCACTGGCTCGTGGCTGGTTGTTAAGCAGATTCTTTCTGCTCAGGAATCTGGGTCTCAGAGCAGTTTACCCCACTGGCTTTAAACTTCTGCCTGTTTGGGGATCTGTGCATCAGCAGCTTCCCTCTGCCACAAGCATCACACAGGAACTCTGGGGGAACGTAAGCCTGAGCAGCTCCCACTTTTCCCATAGAGTAGAATGCGCCTTTCTTTCCATAGGCTAAGTCTGGCTGCTCCTAACCTTACCACAGCTTTTCTAGCTCCTCTTCTTTCTAACTTGTATCATTTCCTAAGCACCAGAAACCTAAGGACTGAAACTGTCTTTGGCCTCTGTAACAAGCTGAAAGGCAGGGGACACTACCCTTCTTTGTTTGGGCACCTGTACCAGGCCATTATCAATATTAATTCAAAATAGATTTGCAATATGCCTCTCAGATATGCAACTATTACTGACTAGTACAAGCACAGGAAAAAAAAAACAACAACAGAGATGATCTAAATGCTAAGTAAACAAAAGCCATTGGCTTAACACTGACATTCTCCAGCCTACTCAAGCAGTCACTCTTAGTGCATTGACAGCTCAAGTTTATCAACAGCTGGAGGAGTCAAAACTACTTTTGCTGTGAATCTACAAAACATGTTAATAACTAAAAGGTAGAGCATAAAAGTGACAGAAACATAGGGACTGCCAAATGGGATCATACTAAACGGCCCTTCAAGCTCAGACAGTGGCTAGTAGCAGATGCTTTGGAGGAATGAAACCCCCTCGCACACCTCCCTGGGGATAAGTATCAATTATCCTGCTTAGAAAGAAAACGTTTTTCTACTTCCATATTTCTTCCAGTTCTTAATGTATTAGAAAGTGTTTGCCTGGATATTTTTCTCCATAAGCATTTTCATCGCTTTGTCCACATTGTTCATTACATTGATCTGAAAGAACTTTCTGAAAGTGAACAAAGCTATCAACACAAACCCCAAGGTGAAAGCAAACACCACATAGTATTGCACACTGAAAAACTGAGAAATAGCAGCTCAGAGACTTGCAATCAAAACAATCAGCAATAAAACAAAGTCTCTTTGACTCGCAGTTCTGCACAAAAGAATCAGAGGAAGGAGAGTCAAGTAGAGCCATCCACGCTACTAAGATTTCTGTCATCCCTGTTCCAGTGTGGGGAATCGAGGCACATAACTCTTCTGTGTTCCAGCTCTCCTGTTTGCAGATCAGTACTGATGCTTTTCATAGATTTTCCCAAACTTTAACTAAGAAGTGGCTTTTGGTAAAATTGAGGGTAAGCTGTCTGGGGAGGAGATGCAAGGATGAGGGGGACAGGTGCTATGAATTTCATACCTGAAATATTAAGACATGCATAAATGTCTTTTATTCAAAAGCAAAACAAAGGCAGCCCCCTCAAACTACTGGACGTGTATTTCCTTGACATCCCTGCTAACAGCCACTGAGAGACTGCTTGAGGATGGGCAGGTTGGGTATTTCTTCTTTTCCCCCCCTCTCCTTGCCACCTCCTCCTCTCAGGATCAGTAATGGAAAAGTGACTTGCTGCAGAGATAATGCTGGGTTTGAAATGAATTTCTGACTAGCTCAGCCAGCACCCGTGTGAGCTGTGGCTGATTAGCTCCAAGCATCCAGGTCCCAATCACTCACAATGGAGCCAGGCAATCATGCCAGCATCCACAAGGGAAAGACAAAGTGGAGGCAACATCCCTGAAAAGGATCTCAAAGGCAAAGGGAAAAAACTACTCACGCTTATGGTTTTCATTTCTGTGGACAGGGGAAGAGCGGGTCTCCTGCTCGCGGGCTTCATCACCCTCTTCACTGGCAAGATGGGTGTGAGCATAGTGGTAGCTCAGCCCAGGCCTGTTCTTGTAACGCTTGCCACAGACTGGAAGGAAAGAAGATACAAGGGAGGGGAAGAGAGAACAGAAACATCAGTGTAATCTGCAACAAGGGCAGCAACCTCTCAAATAATGCTCCATTCTCCCCACCACAAGCAGCACTGCAGACTCCACTGCCTGCCCAAAACTCTTCCAACCAAGAGATTGAAAGTTGACAGAAGGGCAGCCCTGAAGCTGCAGGTCCCTGGACAAGATTTTTTTCCCGTGGTGCTGCCAGCAGTCCTTCCTACAGCCTGGGCAAATGCACATTGAGTCTCTGCAGCTCATACAGCCCTAATCCTCTCTGCTAAGATTACTAAGAAGATTACACATAAAATTAAATGAAATGCCAGTTCTGATGTTGGTGCTGCACAACCCACAGCAATGAGAACTGAACTGAGAAGAAAGGACATTATTTTCTTCATTACTGATCTCTGAGAAGAGGAAACTTTTTTTTTGTTTGTTTTTAAGAGAAGACTTTGTGTTAAAGGGTAACAGCTTTATTCGCAGGTTCCTAGTCAAGACGAGGACATGGAAATCATCCACAGTTTCTTGCTAAAAGAACACATATCAGTGACACTTATTTGCCCAGGTAAACTTCATATTCAGAATCCCAATAAATAATACATGTGACAGAGGATGATCCTTCTGAACTTTTTTTTATTCTAGGACAAAGTCAATTGATACAGAGAACAAGATCAAACAATTAAGGATGTTGAAAGGTCTATGTTTTCACAGGGAGCTCACCACAAGGGTGGGCTTCATCATAAGATTCCTTACATACAAATTCAGCTTCTATAAAGGTTTTAGTTCGTGTTATTGTCTCTAAAAGTTATCTTTTTTCATCTTTAAAGCAGTCTCTGAATGTCCATTTTCTTTTATACAGCTATTTTGTCTACCAAATGCAATTACTACCATTTTCAGAGATTAGGAAACAAAGGCAAAAAAGCTTAGTGCTCTTCTTGTACATTTTTACTCCCAGCCACATTTCCAGGCACTTCATTAGCTTCATTAACCTTAAGGATTTCACACAGGAATAAATGTCATGCCTAGTAGTTTATCCTGCATATCTTGCTTAGAAAGGCAAAGGAAGTGGTGCAAGAAGAGAGAATGGAACCCAGCAGTGTCTAGTTCTCTGTCTTGATTTTAGACCCCTTGAAAAATTCTCCAAGGGGAAAGTCAGCATTCACTCTTAAAAACTTCATTCAGCCCTGAGACTGAAAATGTATCCTGAAATGTATATAGATACTTAATTCCTATTCCCCAGACACCTAAGCCTGGGAATGTCATAAGACTCCATGAATCAGACAAAACAAACAAAAAAGACCCACTCCCAAATTATTCATTTACATATAAGTAAAATTTTCATTATTATACTTTAATGGTACTACTCACAAAAAAAGCCAATTGATGGTCCACATTCCGGAACAGATGACAGAAAATTGTAAAACAAAGCCTAGCATGATAACCTAATCCATTCTGCATCTCTTGCAGAGATCTCTGATTTGCAGACTCCCTCAAGGAAAATATTTTGCCTTATTAGAAACGTGTAAAAGAACCTCATGATATGAATAAGGTGAGTGATCTGGAATATTAGGTCCTTTTATCCAGTTTTCTCTGTTCTGCAAGGTGATGATCACAGAGTCATCATAACAGGACTAAAGTTTTTTCCAAATGTAATGTGTCCTTAGTGACAGATTTTTAAAGACTTTGAATGCTCTTGATTTAGAAATGAGAACTCATGCAGGAGGGAGGAGGGGGAGAAATAAAATGCCCAGATATATATGCACATCCATTCTTTGAAGCATCTGTCTTTGTTTCATATCTAAACCTAACTCTTCTGACAGACATTTTGAACAACTAGACTGCTGCTACATGCATGCTCTCCAGAGAGCATCAGTTCAGTCTCTCTTCTCCTAGTACCAACCATGTATTCTTCTAATGCGCTCTGGAGATGGAAACTACTCCCTCTCCTCCTCTGCAGCTCTACAGAGCAAAGGACAAGCAGTGGAACAGATGCTGGCAGAATCAAACAACAAGATATCCACACTTCTGTATGACTTTGTCTCCACTTTTTGAACAGCAAAAAAACTGTAACACAAAAGTAACCATCAACCTGGAGAGACCAACAAAATACTCACTCTTTAAATTATTTCAGAAAGATAACTCCTCTAATTACCCAAATATTACAGCATTTCTTAGAACGGAGAGACAGATTTGCATTCCAACTCTGTTTTGCTCTTATATAGCTTAATCTTGTGTCAGTGCTAACCTAGATGTAAAACCGGATACGGTCTAAACCCCAGTCCCATTTAGCTATTAGAGGGCATTTAAAATTTCAAAATAAAAATATTTCTAGAAATTCTACCAGACTTCATTTCACTAAGGTCTACCTGAAAACACACCCAAGGTTCTAACTCTACTCTTGTTACCATACAAGAGCACCATGTCCTTGAATGTAGCTTCCAAGGATCTTTCTCCCTCAGTGCACAGAAGAAAGGTTGCATTCCCTGCATGAAGTCGCAAGGCAGTGGCCTTGCCTCATTTCCCTACAGGATCCTGCAGGGATTTTAACTGCAAAGTTCAGGATGGCATAAGATGGATCTGTAGACTTGCCCTTCTGCAGCAAAAAATATCAGTTCACCACTAATAAAGAAGCAAGTGTCAATATAAGCTGAGGCAGTAGTAATTCTGCAGCTGAGCCCTTCCCAATGCCAAAACTTTCAGATGGCCTTTGAGGCTGGCGATAAGCTGAGACATGCCTAGCTAAAAGGAAACCTTGGAGGACCTTATAACCAGAGTGCAGGCAAAGGCGTTTACACAGGCCCCAAAGATCCTTTGTAGGACCAAAGACCTGCAGCTTCCAGTAGCATTTTTTTTCTTGGTGTCTAGACTTCTATGCCTTTCAAATTCATGTTCTGTCACCAAAAAAGTCTGAAGTGATACTATGAGTTGAAACTGCAGAGGTTTCCTATTCCCCAAGCAAATTAGACTTCTGCAGGGGGAAAACGGTATCATGATATTAGTTGAGCAAAAGAACCATTGGCTTCAGTTGAGACTGCTAAAATAAAAGCTAAGTCAGAAATTCATGGTTTCTCCAACAGACTGAATCTTCCTGAATTCACCATATCTCTTATTTTCCAGATAGAGCACATTTTATTAATCTACCATATCACTGTGCTAGGAAGTAGTTTCTATAAAAGGGTGATCATTAATAAACACTTAGCTCTTATGTAACTCTTCCCACTGCAAGACTGGCTTTTCAAACATTAATTAATCTTCCTCTGAATTTCTGAGTGGGAAATACTATTCTCATTTCACTTCTGAAAAAAAGAGAACCACAGAGGGGTTAAATGACTTGCCCACACAGTGATCTTTTGTCATTACCAGGACTGGAATTCATGAGTTCCAGCATCCACACCAGTGCTTACGCCGCATCTTTCTCATTCTCCAAGCTGACAAAAGCATAATGAGAACTGGTTCTCCCAGTCTGAAATGTACACTGCTGATTAGTTTTTAAAGCTATGCAGCTCACACATAGCAAGTGAGAGTGTGCCTTTCATAAACTTTGCCAGGTGGCCTTGCCTTTCTTTCAGCAGCTTTGACTTTTATCATCTTTAATTTTCCTTGCTGGATAGGCTCATCATCCTTGCATGTGGTAGATTTCATCCTGAATTTCAACACTGGGAAGTTGACTGGATCTTTAATTAGGTAGCCAAGCCCAATGAAAACAGCAGGAGTTTGAAGAACGTAACCCATTCCAATTCCTCCTGTATTCAAAAGATATATTTTTGCTATACCCTGATGTGAATGCCATCTTAGGAACAAGCTGGGTAAGTAAGCAGTAATACAGCAGTGCAGATCAAATGCCACAAATGGGAAAGAGGGAAAGATTTTATTAGGCCACTAGACACTCTATGATGAACCTCACTTTCCCTCCAATTTGAAGACTGAAATGAAGACATTACACAACTGAGTTATTGGCAAAAAACACAATTTGCAGACAGTTTAATCACAAGCATTAAGTGTTTCATAAGAGAGAGCTCAGTTCTAAATTCTGACCTGTAGCAGCCTGCAACTCTTCGGATAAGCAAATTCTCACCTTGTTTACATTTCTCAATAACTAAAATTAATACAAAATACTTCCCCTGCTTTAAAAGGGAATTTGAAATCCATGACTTGAAAGACTTCCTCATCAAATATTTAATGGCTGTGTTGCTGTCATTTTGAAATTGTTACACATTTGGTCCTTGGCAGGCTGTGAGCTATGTTCCAGCCAGTTCTCCACATACATTTTGCACAATCTGTCACCAGTATGAGACAGAAGGAAACAATCCATGTTTTTAGTGGAACCAGGAAATTGGGGGAGTGCATGCTTTTTTTTTTTTTTTTTTGTCACTGAATCTTGCTCCCCTCCTTGTCTTTCTTTGCTTTTCTCCTTTGCCTCCTGTTTTTAATTCTCAGCTGGGCTGTCAAACACTAAACCTTAAGTTAACTGCTGGCAAGCAGTCATTCCTCAAAGTTACCTTCCAGTCCCACCATTCACTCCACTCCAAAAAAAACATTCCTTGTTTTGCACTGATTTGGTAATATAATCTCCCCTGTTACAGTTATGTCCACACTCTGGACTAACAGTGTATGCATTTTGACCTCCACTGGTGGGAAGACATTACGTTCATCCTTCTGATCAGTACTGTCATGCTATTCACCTCTAGTATTAGAGCAGCTATTTAGCAACCCATTTCACTGGGGGGTTTCTGTGATAGTAAATCGTCCTTGTTCCAGTGCCCCCAGAGGACAAGTCTACCTGCTGTATAGGAACGCTAAACTCCAGCGCAGAACGTGCACAGACCAACAATATATATGTCCACATTTCAATAAATGAATTGCTAGCAGGAGCAAAGGAGAAAACAAGTAGCTTATGAGTCACCTCTGTTCCCCTCTTACCACAGGCTCTACTCCAGACATATATTATTCAATATTATTTAAAAAAAAAAAAAAAAAAAAA